ACATACATGACAATGCTAGTAAATATGAGGATAAAATCGTTGGCATAATGAAAGGGTTTGTTGTACCTTGTGGACTGCCTTGACACTTGACAGATGATGTTTATGTCTGTGTAAATAGTAATGGGGAATTTCATTGGGTCTTGGCAGTCGTTGCATTGAAGGAACGATGCATGAAAGTGCATGATTCCATGTCCTCATCTAGGTCTAATAGAAAATTGTCATCCGAGCTTCAAAAGTTGTCTATAATGTTGCCAAAGTATCTTGAGTTACGTAGATTTTTTGAGCAAAAAGAGTGAACCAACTGGTCTATTCTTGAATGTTACCAAGGAAAGAACAAATCCCACCCATTCGAAAACAGACATGTTACTGGTATTGCACAACAAGAAAGCAGTAGTCTGTAAGTATCACATTATTTTTTTATCTTACGACTATAAAAAAATGTGATGATATTATATTTTCTAATTGATGATATACCATGCAGATATTGTGAACTTTTTGTTGCTGCATACGCTGAATTTTCGAGTGATGGATTAGAAATACCATCTTGTGGAATTAGTGCAGACACACTTCGCATGAGATATGCTTCACTCCTATGGAATTATTGAATTTTAAAGGATCGGAATGACTATGTTAGTGACAATGAAGACCCACAGAGGCCTAGACCTAAAAAAGCAAAGATCGATGAAAATATTGCGATTACCACCATTGATTAGATGGGTGGTTATGTATATCATTGTGAATTACCTTTTTGTTGATAAGTTGTATAAAAAAAATTAGTGAAGTATTAGTACAATTATCTGCATGTGTACAAACAGAAGGATACATGTGACAACATATTTCACAGAAAGGTGACATGTGGTAAGACATGTCCCAGAAAGCATATATGTGGCAACATATGTCACTGTTTGAATTGTCAAAATTAAAAAAATAAATTAATGGCTTTAATATAATCGTCCCTTCATTTTTCCTCTCTCCTTTCTCCTATAAAAGTAATTTCAATTTTTTTGCTGATAATATTAATCATCGCTTGTCTACATGTGTACCAACAGAAAGGGGTCATGTGACAACATATAGCACAGAAAAGAGATACGTGGTAAGATATGTCATAGAAATGAAATATGTGGCAACAGTATACTATAAATATAACATATGTCCCCCAACAGAAAGTATATATGTGGCAACATATGTCACAGTTTGAATTGTCATAATTCAAGAAAATTAAAACGGCTTTAATTTTCATTTTCATTTTCCCTCCTCTCTCCTCTCTTCTATAAAAGTCGTTTCATATTTCAAATTTTATTTATATACTAATTTCAGTTTTCTTTTCTCTTGTTTCTCTTCCATTATTTCTTCTTTCACAAATCATTGTTTTTGCGATATTTTCTAAAATGCTAGTGGTAATCTGTTGCGATCCTCTTCTACAGCAAGGCGTTGTTATCCTCATCATTTATAGTTTATCGTTGATATATATTCTCAGGTAATATAGGGTTGAAATTCATGTGCTTATCTGCTTACTTGTTTGTCCTGTTTTGAGTGGTTTTATCACTTTTTTGGTTGGTTATGTAGTTATTTTTGAAATATTTTTTGATTTCAAAAAACTTCATTGTAGTACGTTGTGGTTTGTTTTGGAAGGATTTTGTGGTTTGTTTGTTTGTTTGTAGCTCATGTGTGGCATTCAAATATTTTATTTTTGTGGTTGCAGATACAAATATAATGGCTCCTATCAAAAGAAAACTTGATACATCTGATACGTTTTCAAATGACCATTGTGTATGAACTTCTGAAAAGAAGATTCATTTTTAAAAATCCTAAAAAGAAGATTGAGATTGTAACTAATTATTGTGGCACGCCAGTTTTCTTTGGCAAAAGAGAGTTTGTCATAGTTACAGGATTAAAATATCATCCTCCTCTTGAGCCCATCCCTGAATACATTGTCAAAAAAGAACCATAAAGAAGAAAGAAAGAAATAGCAGAAGCAGGACAAAGTCACTGCCAATTGAGGTGCAGGACTTAATTTCCTTGTTGACAAAAGATCAAAAGTTCCGACTTAGTAAATTTGCTAGAACACGAGGATACACCAAGGAAGCACAAGGAGCCATTGTGCTTACTCTGATTTACACATAATATATTTTTGCCGAGGGATGTCAACAACAACATACTCTTTAAATGAGTGAATTTCTGTCAAGATATTGAGGCTTTCAACAACTACCCTTGGGGTCATGAGAGCTTTGAATTAACTCTCAAATATTTGTTGGAACCTTTAGGAGAAAAGACCAATAACTTATTTGGCTTTCCATGGGCTTTCATGGTAAAACTAAATGTTCTTAATATTTTTATATTATATTAAGTAATTCAACATTTGATTAGTGGCATGTTTTTCTTTTTTACAGGCTTGGGCATTTGAAGCCATTCCTTATTTGACCCGTCAAGTAATTGCAGAAAAACAAGGTCTTCTAGTCTTTTTTTGATTAGGAAGAAATCATTATAAATAGGGATTCTCATAACCTAGAAAAGAGATAAGTTAGTTTTCTATATACTTGTTCACCCAAGTATTGAGAGAGTTCAGATATGATTTGGAATCACTATAGAAGACCGTAACTATCTCGAAGATTCACTTGAAGGATTGTCTAACGTAGGAATTCGCTTGAAGGTATTTGTTTACGCTTCAAGAGGTATTTATCGAATTACTCCCTTCTTTCACAAAAAATGACATGGTTTGACTTGACACGCAGTTTAAGAGTATGAAGAAGACTTTTGTATCTTGTGGTCCTAAATTAAAGTTAGGTTAAATATACAAGATTGCCCTTTGACCTTATGGCCTTAAACATGCCACGTGGAAAGATGAAATTAAAATGTTACCAAAAAAAAGAAAGAGGTCATTCTTTTTTAAACAGATTAAAAAGGAAAGGAGGTCATTCTTTTTGAAATGGAGGGAGTAAATTTCAGTATGTTTATGTGTTCTAGCGTGGTTAATGTGTTCTAGCCTGGTTAATGTGTATTGATTACCATTTATTCATGTAAGCATTAAAGATCTGAATATGCTTCCGCTGTGCATATATAGTTTTCCAGCAATATCATGGTAATAATCTAAGCAGAAATTTACATTCGTAATAACTACCATCGGTATGTAATTATACTTAAAATTTGTAATATTTAAATGTGAATTTAAAACTTGAGGTGGTCTAATTAAGACTTCACATCAATTAATTAGCATATGTTTTGTAGTTGGAAAGCTTATTACCTACACTAATTTCCTACAATCAGTTAGGATTTATAAAGGGAAGGAATGTTTCACAAAATATGTTATTGACACAAGAGATCGTTACAAGTATTAGAAAGAGGAGGAGAAAGCATGCAAATGTTGTTAAAACTTATGAAGGGGTACATATATGATTTGGAGAATTATGGCTAACAATTGATACTCTATTCTTATTAATAGTCACATTCATAGTTTCTTCCACTCTACTAGAATAATAAAACAGGGCTATCACCTACATTGTTTATTCTAATAACACAAGTATTTGAACTTTTTCAAAGCATTAAATTATTTATTTCATAATGAGTTTAAGAGCTTTGAAATGCCCAATTAGTGATAATTACTTGAATCATCTGGCATATGCATATGTATATGATAAAACTATTTTTGCTGCTGTATAAAGCATACCTAACTCAAAGTGGCCATAAAGGCATTGATAACATATATAAAAATTATACAAAAGGCGGATCTGATTGTGATTGTAGAAAACAAAAAAAGTTTGACCTTGGTGTGGGACATACATGTTTAATTTCCATGTATACAAAACAAAGCTAATTAAATAGGACTTTTTTTTCTAATTTATAGATCACTTGTCCACCTTAACCAATAAACTGATTCACCACATAATAATGAGGCTGTCAAATAGACCTTAATTAATTAATATTAAAATGTCACTGTTATATATAAATTTGAATCCGTTGTTTGGTTGACTTTTCCACTATCGTTCTCTTTGTGAATTAACGAGTTAAAAATAGGTTTATTTAAATTTCATGAGGTAGAAATTTGATTGCGTACGTTCTACCTTTTCTAGATTTCATAAAGTTTCATTAGGGTGTTTTTTTTTCTCACAATAAGAGGCTAATTGTGCTTACTTTAGGTTTTTGTTGGTATAAATTAAACATCAAAACTTCTATGTTCAGATAATAATAACTAATACAATAACAAACAACTATGTTTATGGGAAAAATTATTTTAATTTGTTGATGTTGCTGAGGATTGTCCAATTTTTCTCTTGTCATGTATGGGCACCGACCCTTGCCCATTGCACAGTTGGTTGAATAATCAAATCTGACATAGTAATAAGAATAATGTTTAGGAATATTATATAATATAGATTTATAATATTTTGCACCTCCCACATGCTTGGTTGACTTAATTATCAAGTACTCAACAGACAAATTAAATCTAATTTTTAATTAACTCAACTATAATAGTGCATTATCTTGTTCATACTATAGCCTCACATGATGAGTAGAAGAAACAAAACAAAAAAACCCTTCATTGTCTAATACTATTCCTCATGACAAAACAAGAGGGGAAAAAAGACAAAAATACAATATTGTAATAGGAGTAAATATATAAATGTCGATGTCTAAGTGCATTTAAATAATAAATTTAAAATACTCCTAATGTGACAATTATAAGTAGATATAAGGTGGTGTTATTATTTTTTATTAATAAAAAATATCGTTTTGATGAAACTTTAATTCTTTAACCTCTATCTTAAATTGTTTGAGTTATACGATTGATATTATTAGGTTACGTTGTTGTATCATGCAAAAAGCAATTCAACAATATATTGTTGAATCGATAAGCTTGAATCTGTTTAGGAGAAATGAGATACATGTGTCTCAACCTGAATATTTAATTATTTATATTAGTTTTACTTTCAACAATAGTATGTGTATTTTTCACCAACATAAATTCTAAAGTGATGAACATGAAAACAAAAGTATTAATGAACTAAAAGTGAGATTTTGTTTTGATTATCTCCAAAGAAAGAGTCCATCTTGAGAATTACAAGATTTATGGGAGGTAGAGTCAAAGTTGAGGTACTGATCTGATAAAAAAAAGGACTTGTCAATGTCATGATCATTTTCTACTAATTGATTATCTGGTGTAATGGGCAAAACTGTTGCTGCTTCTACTTGTGGTGTCTCAGACTGCATTTGGATGCAAAGTATTTCAGCTTGAGCCATTGCTAGCTGCATTTGCAATTGCATGACCTGGTTCTGCAAGTAGGATATTGCACCCACACACCCATATACAGGATCTCTCATTCTTGCATTTGCTTCATACACTAAACTGCTCACAGCATCTGCTCTTTCATTCACCGGAACCTCCTGAGAGAAACCGGTTCGAGAATTCACATTTTTATTAGTTAATCATATCGGAAACAGATAGCGGTGAGGCGATAGAGCACACTTTTATGATCTAATAATTAATTATAACGTATGTGTATGTTGCAATTTAATAAAGATCGGCCAAATACATATATCGACAAGCACCCTGAAATTTCATTTTTAACACTTTATCTCAATCTTATTCTATTTTAACTCTTCAATTTCATAGTTGAGAAAAGTCTGTCGGACCAAATTTGGTCCATTATATCAAAGCCACTCAATGTTAGACCCCTCAAGAAAATCAAATCAGATGCTAAACATCGGGTGTGAGCAGGGGCAAAGCCAGCAGTGTGTCAAGGGGTCCTTCGACAAAAAATCTTACTATTTGCACATTGTTAAAATTATTTCTTATGTATATATTCTAGATGTCGAACTCCCTTCAATTTATTTGTATGTTTACTTTTTGAGCCCCTTATTAAAAATTCTATCTCCGCCGTCACTGGACGTGAAGTAGGTGTTAAAAGAATGACAAAAGTATTGATAGATTAATGAAATGGTAGACTCCTAATTAGACTTTGATAATCTTCTTTCCTTTAGACCTAATTTAACAAGAAGCATCGTTATTATAGACGTAGGTACCTGTAACATTTTGCTGATGTTGCTTGCGCCAAAGACCTTATGAACAATGGCAAATTTGTGAGGATCATCACAAGGGAAGTAAGGAGAAAATATGCAATCCTTGGCGCAACGGCGTCGCAGCAGCTTACATGAAGCACATGGTGAGTTTCCTGCACCCATAGGAATATTCAAACACTAATAAAAAAGAAATTTGACTACTCCTATTCCTATAATATGTGACTTGTCTTAATTTTAGAGAATGGAACTCTATATATTTATAGCTTCCATACCTCACCGCGTTCAACATTTTATTTTAATTAATTTAAAGTAATTACTTTTTTTTTAATCTATTTTAATTTGACATAAAATTTATGAAAGTACGAGAATATTTACGTAAAACATATTAAAATGTCATTTAGTTAATAATTTACATATGACAAGTTTAAAGTGGAAATTAACGAATTGTTAAAAAGAAAAAAAATATGAATTCATTTTCTAGGAATATTAAGATCAACAAATTAATAGGGAGGAAGTAATTAACATGAATAAAAACAAATGAATAATAGTTGTTATTACTTTAGTCAGTTCTCCCTTGTTTCAATTTTGGTAAAGGTGTTTTGACTAAGGCTAATGTTTAAAGAAGTTGAAAATTTATAATTTAAAATAAGTTATAAATATTTATGTGATTATTTAATTCATTAAAAATAAAATAGATATTTTTTAAAGTTTGATTATTACTCAACATAAAAATATTTTACTCTTTTTAGAATTATAAAAAAAGTGCTTTATATGTTTGGAATAGAGGCTCAATTAATTCCTTTTTAGTTATTTAAAAATATTCATCTTTTTAGATAATTCTTTAATTTCAATTTTCATATAACATGATTAAGTTCATAAATTAGATTCCAAGAATATATTAACACATTTTTTTGTTGATAATGAAAAGATTCAACATTATTTTTACCTTCTTAAAAAGGTTTTATCAAATAAAAAATAGAATAAATAAATTGAATTTGAGAAAGTAAGTATTTCAAATGAGTTTCTAGCCATATTTCTTTCATTGAGTTTTGAGAAATCATGTGGCAGAGCGTTAAAAAGGCTAAACAGAATCATGAGAAATCATGTGGCAGAGCGTTAAAAAGGCTAAACAGAATCAAGAAATAGCTACGACCTCTCTTGGTCTAATGTGGTGTCCTAATTCCTAAGCACGTTGTACTTTAATTAGATATTTTTTATAATAATATTTTTCATGAAAATTTAAGTTAAATATAATTGATAGTGAAAACATATTTTGATAGTCATATGATATAAATAGATTTTTTCTATAGTAAGTATTAATTGATTCTCCACATGATAAAAATGACAACTTATTTATCATGCAAATAAGTATAATTGATTAATAGGAAAGCATTTCGAGTTAAAGAGGACTTCCAATTGAATACTCCACCTTGAGCATCTACAATTGACTTGTATTTTCTTTTTCTATACTATATTAAAAAATTCTTTTTTTTTATTGTTTTTATTTTTATAATAGGTATAGAACCTAGTTAGTCAAACGAATTCCACTACCATCAAAAGTCTACCAATTCCAGCCCCCAAGAAAATTAAATTTTAATATTTTAGAAAAATTTTACGATTACCAAATGTAATAGACATATACTTTATCCGTTTAAAAAAAGGCCTTAACAGGAGACCCTTTTTTAAAATTATTTTTTAAAAAATTAATAGGAGATTTTTTAATTTTGTGATTTTAAATTAAAATTGTGTTAAATATATTAAAATGTCCTTTGATCTTCTGGTATTAAATATGTCATGTGAAAAGTTAAAATTAAAATGTTGCAAAAAAATAAAAGGGGACATTATTTTTTAAACAGACTAAAAAGGAAATATGGTCATTCTTTTTTAAACCGATAGAGTATATTTTGTAAATATAGTTTTTTAATTGCGATTTGTAACAATAGTTACGAGACATAAAGCTTAATTTCAAGGGGCCTTAACAATACGTCATCAATTCCCTTTGGCAGAGAGAGGTTCAAAATATATATATCTACAGACACACGTAAAATTTACTCTATATACGGTATAACTTTTTGTTGACGAACCCCGAAAAAGCACGTTGGTCCTCCCCTGCATTATATTCCGTTTGCAAAGATACAAATATGATAAGTATCTACAAATTTTATATCTATACATTTAAAAAATTTCCAGAATTTTGTTTAAATATTTTGTTTGTCAATATACAAATAGGATAATTTATTATGAATTTTTATAAATCGTATACAAATAGCTAGGATACTCATATATAAAAGTTTTAATTTATATAACCATAAATCAAATTATACAAATCAAACGAATAACATAAATTTAAAAAAATTGCACTCATAAATTATAATTTAAACTATAACTAAAGTACATAATATAAGTTAAATATTTGCTATTTTACATAATTTTACCTTGAACATTCTTCATTTTATTACTGCCACCTTGGTGATAAAGTAATTTGATTTTATAATTAGCTACCTTTGATTTATTTCGTTAATCACAACAGGTTCATATGGATTGAAATAAAATAATTTTTTAAATAATAATAACTTTTCGTAAGTGTAATTTTTTTTAAAGAAAACATTTTAGTAAGCGTGAGTTTAATGGAAGGAGCGAGGTTAAAAATGATGTCGTTGTGGAGACAGCGATAAATAACGTGTCCCTTTATTTCCAAAGGCTAAAACACGTGTCCCATTTATCTTATTCAGCTTCGCCTGACTTTCTTTTGATTTTCCACTTTATTCACATTAATCACTTCATGGTTTTTGCGCTTACTAAACTACTAAAACACATCTTTTCGTACCTTCGAAAATTGATACCTAAGTTAAATTACTAAGATAAATTAAGAAACGATAGTTTTTATTTTATTGTAAATATATTATTATTTATTTTTTAAAAAAATTAAATTTTAATTTATTTTTAATATTATACTCCCTCTGTTTCTATTTAGCTGTTCATTTTAAAATTGACACACAAATTAAGATACCAATGATTATCATAGGTTAGTTACTACTTTACTCTTAAACTTAAAAAATTTATACAACTCCCCAAGTATAATAAATGTATTTTCTAGTTCCAAAAAGCATGCATTACAACTTTGTAGTATTGAGAATTTTTTAGAATTAAATAAGGACATATTACGAAAAAAATTATTATTCTTTCTTGATTTGTTAAAATGGACAAGTAAATAAAAATAAATATAAAAGATAATATGAACAAGTAAATAGGGACAGAGGGAGTAATTAATCAAGGTAAAATTATAGCTTCATTATGTTAATTATTGTTATCTTAATATGTGTCTCATTTTTTAAAATAAACAACTAAATAGAGCTAAAGAAAGAATATACTATATATATATATATATATATATATATATATATATATATATAATTNTAAAAGTCATCTCCAGCCATTCAAAGTTATCCGCATAATTCATTTAGACACCTTAACTAATCCTTATGCCAATTGAACACTTTATTTGTTCAAAAGTCATTCTTATTAGACACAAAATGCTGACATGACAAAAAACATGTAATTCACTTTCCTTGAGCGCGTTAATTTATTAAAAATAATATTTTTCTTTTTTTCTTAATTTATACCCCTAAGTTAATTTTTTAAAAAAATAATTAACAAAAAAAGAAGAAGAACAGTTGTCTTCTTCTTTCCTATTTCTATCAACTCCACCCCAACCCCTATACCCATGCACCAGTGGTTATCTTCTTCCCCCACTATTCAAATGATTTCAAAATTCTTAACATCAGTGGTTATCTTCTTCCCCCATTATTCTAATGGTTTCAAAATTCTTAACATTTTGTTTCATTTATAAATTTTTCGGATAGATTTTTTTCCCATCTTTCTCTACCTAAAAAACGAGATAAAGTAAAAAGTTATAATTAATAAAAAAACTGATGAAAAAAAATTGTCGGGTTAAAGATGAAACTGTACAGGGAGGGGAGGGTCGCCATTAATGGAGTTAGAGGGAAATGTATGTTTTGGATTCCAGTTGAAGGCAGGGAAGTGGGTGTTTAAGTTTTACTTCTTTTTTTTCATTTTTTTAACTTTAAATATTTTTTTATTTTTTTACTTTATAATATAATGTTTAAATAATTTTTTGGATTAAAATATAACACTTGTCATTATTTAAATGGTCAAATTGACATGTCAGCGCGAGTGTATTTCACACATCCTCTATTTTTTGTTTATTCTCAAAAAAATGTTCAAATGGTTCAAATTCAGAATGGTTGAAGTGTTCAATAGGTAGTACGTCTAGTTGAGATGTCTAAATAAATAATCGGGATAATATAGTTATAGTCGATAAATTTGAAATACATTAATATGAAAACATAATAATTTTATGACTTAATTTATACGTAAAATTAATAAAAGAAATTTTACTAAATACACAAGAAGTGGTTTATATTTGTTAAACAATGGGTAGTTAGGGAAAATTTTTATAACTTACATAAATTCCATAGTGTAAGATCTTAATTATCTTCTATCCCTATTATTTTTCTAATTACATAAATTCC